TCTCATTTATTCATCTTTTTCACATTTTGTTATATTGATATTCCTTAAAATTTCAAATTTTGATTAAGTATATTCAATATTAAACTTGAAATGGGCATTTAATGTTGATTTGGTTATAATCAATAATTGAAACATTAAAACTAATTATTTTGGTTATCAAACCAAAAAATTGGTAAAAAATTTAGTTAGGTTTTCATTACTAAAAATGGTAAAAAAAAAAAAACTAATAATTTAAAATTTGATTTCGGTTAGACCAAAACCAAACCATACCCAAGCCTAATCACCATATACAGACCACAGGACTATGAGAAGCTACAGGGTACGGCTTTTGAATAAGAGTATAGATATCTTAAATTCAAATATTTATTTCTTTTGAAATATTTTAATATAATTTAAATTATATTAAATTAAATTTTAGATAAAATAAATCATTCAATATTAAAAACTATCTCTCATAGATTGATATTGCACGTATCACTTAAATGTATATATATAAAAAAAAAAGTAGCTCAATAAAATTAAGACTAATTTGCTGTATATAATTAATAGTTAGAAACAATTAATAATTATTTTTTAAATCAAACAGGTAATAATATTTGAATTATAAATTACAATAATTATCAATCCAATATTTTTTTTAAGAGGAATGTAATGGGTTGTTAACTAATTAATGAATAGGAGAAAATTGTCTTTTATTATATAATTTAAAATAACATAAATAAATAAATAAAAGAATCATCATCAACCAAAGTCTTCCCCTCACAATCATCATAAAATTCACAAATTCTAGTTATGCACTTAGACCTAATAAAGAATTCTTTATTTTGTAATTCATATTACATTATCAAAATTATTGAATAAAAGAGCAACTCTCAATATTGTAGACTCTTTCATAGTTTATATTGTATAACTTAAATTGCACTAACACTTTTTTGTATAATAAAATCCCTTACAAAATTACAGAGGAGAGGCCTTATCTACCGTCTGCAATTGAGTTGTTCCAAGACACAGACATAGAAAAAGAATGAGATTGCCTAACATCATCAAATGTTGGGTGTGCTGAAGACCCATAAGCCCTAGAATAATTAGACCACATATCCTCCTTTGACTTCTTCATTTTGTGGAGTAAATACACTTCCATGTCCTCACTTTCTGTCTCCATAGCCTCATTTTTCCCTTCCAAAACCTTCACCACTTGCCTCATGGACGGTCTGGCTCGAGGGTCTGGATACGCGCAAATTAACCCTAAATGCAAAACATTTTCCACTTCCACCTCATTGTATCCTCCTCCTCCTCTTCTCAATCTCTCATCCAATGCATTCAATAATTCTCCTTTCATCATCAACCCCCACACCCACTTAACCAAAGGAGGCTTCCCTTCATCAATAGGTCTCCTCCCACACATGACCTCCAACACCAAGACTCCAAACCCAAAAACATCGGTTTGGGTGGATGCTCGCCCGGTCTTGACCACCTCCGGTGCTAAGTACCCTAATGTCCCAACAACATGTGTGGTCTGAGCCACCTGCCCATGGCCGTGCACCCGCGCTAACCCAAAATCTCCTAGCCTTCCATTCATGTCCTTGTCTAGCAACACATTGCTGGCTTTAATGTCCCTATGTAGAACCTTTGCTTCCCATCCCTCATGTAAATACAAAATCCCTATGGCCACATTTTTCAACACCTTTATTCTCTCTTCACAGCTCAACATCATGCCTTCTTCACATTCAAACACCCTTTTATCTAAACTCCCATTTTCCATGTAATCATATACCAACATGAATGTCCCTCTTTCTTTCTTGCACCATCCCCTCAACCCCACCAAGCTCCGGTGCCTTAACCGGCCAATGCTCGAAATCTCTGCCAAGAATTCCCTCATTCCGTTATTTTCATGGGAAATCCGTTTCACCGCCACCTCTGCTCCGCCCGGTAAAATCCCCTTGTACACCTTTCCATTCCCTCCGATTCCAATCACATTTTCCTCGGAAAATCCTTTGGTAGCTGCTTCGATTTCTTGATACGTTATCCGGTGCGGCCAGTACTCGAATTCCCAGTCCTCCATTTCCGCTTTCTCCCTGGCCCTCCTCTGTTTTTCCTTAATCAAAAACAGAGAAAACAGAGCAAAACCACAAACAATAAGGAAACTCCCCACTGTTACTCCGGCAATAAACCATTTAGATCGGTTAAATGGAGTTTCCGGAAGAACAAACGATGGTAAACCCTCGGTGATCAGTCTCTCACTTAACGAGAAATTCGAGTTACTGAAACTCCAGGCCAAAATCCTGTGACTTTCGACCATTCTTCCCGTGGCTCCGGTGAACCCAACATACATTTCATCTTCTAAAATTTCAGATAGATTGAGAGAAATATTCAACAAAGGTCTCTCTGGCCTTTTCATCCCCACCGGCGCCATGGTAACGTTGATGACGGAATCTTCATAATCAATCCAAACTTGATAATTTTTGCCATTATTTAGCTTCAACTCCTTGAACGACTCCTCGTCGCCGTCTTTTGCATTCTCTGGCCAGTAACCCGCCGTGTGCGCTTTTGTCGACTTGAGAGAGTTCACGTCGATTCCTACATGATTAGCGTCTATGTCTTCGAATTCTTCGTTATCAAAAACGTCGAACTCGATTCCCAAAAGATGATTACTGGAATTTCCGTTGTTCGTCAGATTGAGGAGACCCAGATTTTGAGCTGAGGTCGTACCCTCAATTCCAGTATGGGGAACGAATATAAAAACTAATCCGTGCCCAGGTAAGAAATTACGGTAAGGAGCGATGGAGAAGATAAAGGAAGTCGAAAACGGAAGCACGTAGGAGGAATTGGGAGCCTTGGTCGGGATCTTGGATGGGTAAAGAGCACGGCCGATTATGAAAGTGGTGTCATTAGTGAGCTTGAGAAATCCGGCTTCGACGCTGGCGCTGCCGTAGAGAAGCAAAGAGGTGGAGTTGAATCCATTGAAGACCAGATCGACGGCAAGAACTGATTGGAGAAACAGTGTTACCGGAAGAAGGATTGAATAGAGGTGTTTCCTCTGTTTCTTCATGGCAGCAAAGGCGAAAACAGAGGATTTGTCGTTGGGATGAGGCAAAACAGAGGCTTTGAAGGTAGAAAAGGTCAAGAGATTGGAATAATCAAATATAAATTGTCTATTCAGCTGCCGTCCTGGATAGTTCTCCTAGCATAGAATTCCAAGTTTGTTAATGTCACGTTTGTGAGTAATCAAAATTAACGAAGACAAAAGGTGGAAGGCCAGAATTCACATTTCACAGGAGATATTTTGAGGAGGATGTCTAGTTA